CAACATGTCAACTATTACTAGTCGTATTTATACACGTAGTAAGTGAGTATATTTGGTTTTTGTATTTGTAACCCCTCCCTTTTCTTTGTACTAGTTCAACACAAACTATGTTCACTTTTTATGTTTCTTTACTTTGTCCGGCCGTGAATAAGCAAACGGTCAACTCGAAAACTCAACTACTTTGGCTGCTGCACACACAGTTAAAACTCATCTATTTCCCAGCTATATAATCTACATTTGTATTTTACAGTTTCTGTAATCAAAATAGTGTGAATAAAGATTTAATTTGATTTTAATGGAGGCGGCCAAGAGGAAGCGAATGGGAAGGCCGAGAGACTGATGAAACGGCTAAAGAAAACAGCTGCCACGGTGGTAATGTCAGGCTAGAACTAGAGGCCAGAATTTTGTTGACTTGTCGCCGACAGCTCGGAGCAACAGGACAACTATTTAAAGAATGACGGGAAAATCTCCCTCGGGGTTGGTGAATGGACGAAAACTGATTTTCATCATACCTCGGGTACAGTGCGATCAAGCACCCCCTCCGAAGATCAGACAAAAGAGAACACAGCCACGTGCAGTCGCGCAAAAAACACAGACCTAAACATTGGCGATAAAATATTGATAAAACGGCGAAAGCAAAACAAGATGTCTACACCATTCAATCCCGAACCACTCGAAGTCAAAGACAAGAAAGGAAGCCTTTTTCACAGTTTCAAATACAAAACACACCGAAACCACCAGAAATACATACCTGTGCAATCCGTGCCAATAAATCAGGTCTGAGCTAAGAAGTCAACGAAGGCTTGAATGCAACTGACTGAACTCAGCTAACTCAAAACCAGTTTATGTGTGACGTGCTAAGAGTCTGGTTCACACTGATGTACCCTATATACTAAAAGCATATGCCTTGCAAGATACAGTAGGTTTTATCCATTTACAAGTTCCTGTAAGTGATAAAGAGATAAACCGCCTACTATTTATTTATTTATGCTCTGTAACTTTAGGGTTAAATTACATAAGTGTGGTTTCTGTGTTTGACACAACCTTGCGACTAAGACATTCCGTGCTCTGGATGAGATTTCTTCTGCTCTGTTCTTCTGCTCTCAACCGTTCCACTTCCGTTCGTGTATGGGCGAGTTCCGCCTTCATCATGCCGCATGTGTCCTGCTTTGTCATGTGCAACTTTAACTAGCGACCTAGGTTCAGTTATTTTTAGCTTCATTGAATGCCTATTTGTGTTTATGTGTTTGAAAAACTACACAAATTTCGTTAAGTTTACTCAGAACAGACGAACAAATCCAAAATTGGCTTCATTCCAGACCACGCTGTTCAGCGCGTGCTTCGCAAACTGCAACGGCTAACAGCAGATAAGCATATACTGTTTTGGAAAAATTTCAAAGTTAAGCCTCATAACCAGCCTATTATCCCCCCCCCCCCGGCGGGGTACTCGCTTATATGGGTTATATAGGTATGTGCGGCCTGAAAGGGTTGGGTTTTTAGCCGTTTTGGTCATAAATGGGGTATCGATTTTGGCCATTTTGGTCTCAAGTAGGGTATGGTTTCTGCACTCTAGTCTTGAATTGGGTACGTCTTTTACAAGAAGCTACTTTTTTCTTCATTATCGATAGAACCATCAACAAAAGCCCTTCAGGATGCCTTCAACTTCGGTCTCGACTAGGTAACTAATTATAAGACAGGTCTGAAACAAGGCATTGATTTAAGGGTCAAGTCTCAGATAGGGTATTGAATTTTTGGTCAGGTCATAAATAGGGTAGAGAAAATCGCAGATTTTGTTCTTCAATGGTCTGAGGGTCTTGGGAAACGGACCGCACACTCCCACCCAATTTTTTTTGGGAGAACGCCCCCCAGGCTTAACCCTCACATCATGCTCCTTTGACAATGAACTCACTTACAGCGATAGTTTCCGGAACTGTGCAAGCAGCAAAAAGATCCAAGATCTGACAAACGTTTTGATCGGATGTGTACGAGACGAACCCACGCCAAGTATAATGTTTCCAATTGTTGTTTTGTAACCCATTACAGGGCAACGGATATTGTTGGCAGTATCGCAAACGGAAAGCGTTTTGTATCCTATCTGAAATGCGTCGAGTGAAAAACTAGAAAAATTTGTCGAAAACCCGTATTTTTTTTAATTTAATCGTCCCTGGTGGTAGCCTACAGTGCAGGCGTTTCCCGTGTATTTACGAGTTATCAGTATTAGCTCGCGATCGAGTAGATTCGCCGCCATGTTGTCTTGTGGACGACAGCTGCTCAAACGATCGAGCGGTTGAGAGCAAAGGTTCCCTCTCTTCTGGCCGGGAGCAGAAAGAGAAGGAAATCTCTATCTCACCGGGAAGTGACACAGATTACTGCACAAATTGCTTTGTATACATGCCAACGCACGTACATGCCAACACATTTTTTAAAGTGCACTTAACCCTCAAATATTTCGCTAAAGTGAAACTACTTGTTCTTTACAGCATTTCGGCGCAACATTTTTGCATTTGGTTCAACCCACGATCTTCTATGTCCTTGGATTGTTACTCGACCGCGTTCAGAGAGTCTGAGGCGGCGAGGATGATGACCAAACACGACAGCGTTTCAGTCACTGCTCAGTATTTCCTCGAGAAGACGGAACGCAAACTCATTGTTAGTAATATCTCTTGGGCAGGACACATGGAGTCAGTAAGTTTCGATTGCGAATGCTCCGAAATAAACTTCAATCGAGCACATTCCCAACCGGCGTAAACTTGCTGTATTCTAGAGAGACTATGTTACCTTGTTTATTTTATTTTATTAGATTATTATTTACACCGCACAGGAAATATATTTACAAATATAAAATCTATAAGGCAAGGAAGCAAAGAGAAGTCAATAAGGCTTATGTAAAGAGATATTTCCAAGACAAAAATAACCGGAGGTGAAAATAACTAACCGGAAGTGTTACTCACATAACCGCGTCTGTGCACAAAGCAGTTAATTGCGTGGCGTGTGATTGCACGGTGAAAAATTGGAAATGGGCAAGGATGTGCGAGGAATAGAAAGAGGGAAATGCGCTTGTGGTAAATGCTAGGATTTCATGGGGTCAGATGGAGCAACTTACTCAGATTAAGCAATTGTTTGAGGAAATTGAACTTGTCAGTGGGGACGGTGAGGCTATTAGAAAGTTTTCAGATAAATACATTGTACCCGAAAAGCTTGTGGCAGAGTATGCTGAGTACCTTGCCCAGATAAAAATGCGCAAGGAGAAGAAGAAAGAGGAGACTGAAAGGGAGCGAATGGAACGCCTAAATCGGGAGTACAATGACATTGACTGGGTTGGACTGTACAACTCCGATAAGCTGTCGTCCTTGAGGGTGGAAGAACTATCCTTGTACTTTTCCCATCACAAGATCACCTTCAAAGGGAAAAAAGCTGAAAAGGTCCCAATGATCAAAGCGCACATTGGCAGCTTGCTGTACGATTCAATGGAATGTCAACAACCTCGGCAGCCCCCGCTAAGAAATGTGCAGCAACAAGTGACCTCACCACTTTCCGAGGTTGAAACTGACTCGCAAAGTGATGAGGTAGATTGAGTTGTCGGTTCAAGCCCGAGTAGCTTAATTAAGTAACGAATCGTCACCGGAGACTGATTTTATCCCAGAACCACGCGCGGAAACATTACCGCCGTCAAAATATGGACGAAAGAGGGCGCTGGTCGGGAGAGAGACAATTATGTTAGTTGGGACAAGATAGTTTTTTGATATAATATTTCGACACCTGTAAATAATTTAGATTAATCTTGACTGGTAGCTTTGCTTGTATATACAAGTTTTAGGTTGCTATACATTTCGCGTGTTTGTTAACAAATAAGAGTCAACTAAGCGACACGGGGTAATTTTTTCCTTGCCAAAAAAACTGACTCCCCCCCGGTTGCGAATAAAACAGGTTTGACCCTCCCCAATTTGTAAAAAAATTACTAATGACCCTCCCCTCCGAAGCCCCGGCNCCCCCCCCCCCCCCCCTCAATAAAAAAACGTACCTTCTCTTCCATACTATAAACGCCTGGCCAAAAGGACTCGTAAATACTAGTCTCAAGAAGCCGCAAGTTGATCTTGCGTAGGAACTTGCCTGCGTTGGGTGGCCAAATGGACTCGCAAGTTTCCTTGCAAGTACACGCAAATCACAGAAAGAACCCATTTCAAGGCAGACGTGTCCTCTATTTCATTGGTTGATAATAGGTTAATGGACGTCACTCAGCTTGAGTTGACTTAGGTTCAGGGGGACCAAGCGACGAGAAACGTGCGTCGAGTTGCGTGAAAATTCTCGACCAAAGTGAACGCAAGTCATCACAAGTCAACGCACGCGTACGCCTGGGCAAACGGAGTTGCAAGTAGACCCAGGGTTTCAACTTGCGTCTACTTGCGATTCCATTTGGCCAGGGCTTAAGGGTCTATAAACGGTTCCACGTGGATTTTAATTTGAGGTGGCGTTACAATGAATGTTATGACATATAGCGATTGGAGACGGGAATGGCAAAAATTTATATGGAACTACTTCCTAATCATGAAACGAGTTTAAACGGCCATTCCTGCTTTTGTAATATGTGCTGCGCTTGTTTCTAAAATATTTTAACCTTTCATCAAAGGTCTTCATAACGATCGTGAAGAAATAAGAGGATATTGTACTGCTGAGAAAATTACAGTATCCGAGCTAATGTTACCATAAATTAATGGCAGTCATTCAAGGGAAGTTTAATTTTTAAAGTCTAAAGTGCTCAGTTCTTTTCTGGTTAGATAATAATGAGTTCGTGCTTGAATTTGATCTAACGCAAATGCATCACTGGCCGGCTATACAAGGTGATTTTCGATACATTTCAAGTGTCTTCCACTAAGTAAACAGCCATTAATTGCGCAAGCAATAAGCAAGATTGTTTCCAAAACCTTTCAACCTTTTACGAAAGGGATCACGAAACATGGTGCATTTTATAGAGGCAAGATAGCCACTCACCAACCACTACATCCGTGTACCTATCAATTTAATAGAAAATAACAGCTGACGTTCTCAACATCTTTAAAAATGGCGAAATGTTCTGTTCTGAAAGGAACCTTGGACTGATGGCAGCAGTGATGGCTCTTTCTGGGCAAACTTGATGATGAAAGCGGGACGGCAATGGATATTAAATAACTTAAGCAATGACGACGGCGACCCCGCCGAGGATAACGTCTGAGAAAAAATGAATTTATATTTTACCTTCGAATTTCGCAATTGTCTAGATCCGTTCAGTGCGGCTATTTGCCTCAGAACTTGCTCGAGCTAAATATGTAACGCCAACGATCAATTCCAACTGAAGTTGAAATACCAAAACAATAGCCGCCGTTGTTAACATAGTCACTTCACGTTGTTGTTGTGCAGAGGACGACAAAGAAATTTACAAAGGACTATAACCCACGTGCACAGCCGCTGCCGTCATGGGTTTCTATTATTTCTTTCTTTAAAACGCGCGTCGAAGTAGACAAATAGATGACACAAAAGTAGACATTTGAAGGGTCACTAAAAATCCAAGAATCAAGAAAAGGTTAAAATCGCCGATATATCGTGAGGATGGTACCAAAAATAGCTATGGAAATCTTTGAAAGAAATGTTTCAAGTACTACCTGTAGCCGAAGTTTTACTTGTAATCCATAGGAAAATGCTTACATGATATTTCTTCAAGTTATGATAAGACACAAAAAGGATTTTGTGTTTCAGTGAATGTTCTTCAAAGTAAGAAAAAAAACAAAACAAAACAAAACAAAAAAAAAAAACAAAAAACAAAAAACAAAAAACAAACAAAAAAAAAAACAAGCTTTAGGTGACCGTGACGCTCTCCCCTCCTCGCGAGGGCCTTTTGTCATCTAAAGACGTGTTACTATCATTTTCATTTTCGAGTTATCTGTGTGCCTTTCTTGTTGCCATCTTATATTATTTGGACAGGAAAAAACAAAGAAAAAGTTAAACTTGGCCCATATAGTCGTCTGTATACGTTTCACAATTGTGTCTTAATATATTGTACAAATTATGATGCTGTTTGTTACCTGATCTGAACTAATGATCAGAAACCTGTCGTGACAAACGACCCGGAAATTATTTCACAATCATGTGTACAACAGCAATACGTAAATTGCGAAGATTTCATTGTCTCAGTCGATCGAGGAAACAATATAGAAACTACAAAATCCCAAAATTTTTACCAGGTGATTTGAAACTGAGAAAGTTTTATAATAACGGAAAAAACCCTTCTAAGTTAAGAGCATACTCAAGAAAATTGATCTTAACATTCAGATCGTATTCTGGAAAAATCTTCCAGAAATAGCTAGAAATCCAAGTTTCTGTAAGAAAACAGTCATTCCGATGTATCTTTACAGAATTCAAAATCACTTTTTTCTGGGAACTACTGATTGCTACTTGTCTTACCGATAAAATAATCATGGTTGTCAGTGTTATTACTTATCTATACAGCTCACAGTTCATCTCGTCCAGCTGCCAGTTCATCTCGTTCAGCTGCCAGTTGAGGATATTCTTGTATAAATCCCTCCAGAGCCTTGGCCCGGTAGAAGTCGAAGATATGTTCCTTGTCTTTCTCCGCCATGTTACGATCTTCATAGCGAACAACGGTTTGGGATCCATAAGTAATGAAAAGAAACTGCTTCCGGTGTCGTTCCTCGATTTTGCTTGGCGCCAATTTGAAATCCAAGTAAAAGAAAACATAAGCTAAATCGATTGTGGAATCTTCACGTTTATAAGAGACAGTCTTGCCATAAAGAACTTTTCCCGGGCCACCTTTCTGGAATTTAAATTCTCGGACTACAGCTTGATTGGCATCGCCGCTGTACTGCCCGTCCATGATTGTCCCTTTTATTTCATATGGAATCTGGTAACGTGATGAGATTCTGTTCACAACAGCTTCAAAGTCTGTCTCTTTGATCTTTGTGAGGATCTGGCAATAGATTTTCTCGCTGTATGTTTCGAAAGTTAGTCCGCTCACGAGCTCTTCGGCAGCCGTAATACTGGTTTGTTCGACGTACCTCGAAGAGAACGAATCTATCAACATTTTCCCGACAATGACAGCATCTTTCCACGAGCCAGCGGATTGTTTCACTGAGAAGCCTAAGACGAGTGCAAGCATCAAAATCCTGGCAGACATCTTGCAGTGGAAAAAGCAGCTGCGACGATTCAATTCGAGGAAACGTTCTATGCGGCTCTTTGAACGGATATGCGTGTCTTGCTCCTATTGGTTAATCTTGGTTAGGTGTTGGGGGAAGTCCCCAGTCTGTATGTTACCATGGGTGCCTACCATTTGTCAGAGTAAACCGGTTGGGATGACCGTTGTATAAGCTATGGTAAGGGTTTTTATTATTATTTCTTATTCGTAAATAATTTTAATGTTTTTTTGTTGTGTCCCCAATTAGTTGTGAAAACTAAATACATTGACACATTAATAAAAGCTTTTACTTTTACTTTACTTCCAAAACCAGCAAACCAACCGAACGAGATGACACTTACCATTTGCAATTCGATTTCTCGTAATTGTTTTCGGCTGATTAGAGACTGAAAACTGGAAAATTTAACAAATGGTAAGGACATTTCCGCCGTTCCGTTCCGAGCGGGGAAAGAAGACTACCTCTAGAGGTAGTCTACAATTTTCGATCGGATTTTCCGTAAAATTACTGTTCCATTTGAGTTACAACCGAAATTTCCGGACTTTTTGCTAAATGGTAAGCACTCAATATATCCTAGGCTTCAAGCAAAATAATTTGGCAGCAAAATATTGGTGTATAGAATTGAAAGGGCGAGAAAATTTGATGATCTTTCCTACATTTGGCGGAAAAAGTGACGGATATATCAAAAAGCCACTGATTCGGGGAAACGGAGTTTTCGTAGAAACACGGACGGATTTCCGGCTTTTGTAACAAAAGTCGGAAATCTGTCCGTGTTGCAGGCAAGGTTTTCGTGGATTCTTCTGTTTTCAAATGACCTGGAGACTGTAGAAGCTAGAAATAAGACGTAAGCGATTAATTTTCCTTACAG